ATTCCCTTCTCTTCCTGTCCTGGGTCAGAGAATGTCTCTCCACAGTGAAGGAATTCAACTCTTAGAGAGTTGTCACCAGGACAGGTGTCCCCACCGGAAGACTTCTCTTCACCTCTGACTCTGGTGACAACTCTAAGCTTGGCTTTCCCCTTATTATCCATTACAGTTGTTTCCGAGGACCCGGGAAAGTCAAGCTTTTATTAAAGGAGAACTACGGGGTCAGTGTTTTTCCCCATTAGTTCTCCTAAGGGTCACGGGAGGACACAAACTAGCGTCCTCCCGTCACCCTAGGCTCAGGATATAGGGGGCTACAGCGTTGACTCGCGGAATGGACGGGGGAGGGGGCGGGTACAGCTGTCTCTGCCTCTAGATAGGAAGAGCCAGCTGTCACTCATGCAGCTGGGCGGATCTCGGCACAATTGTCGGTATTCGCTTCAGCTGCGGCGTCTCAGTATAGCGCGAGCTACAGCTCCCTATATACTGAGCCTAGGGTAACGGGAGGACGCTAGTTTGTGTCCTCCCGTTACCCTGAGGAGAACTATGGGGAAAAGCCCGAACCCCATTGTTCTCCTTTAACACAGTTTACCCCGACATTACAGAAAAGATTTACTGCCCACCTGAGGTAATAGAAGACATCTTGCTGGGGCTTATGGGAAGTAGAACGTTTATGTTTCTAGATATAACATTGGTGGCGGGTTCACCTTAAGTCCCGGGTCATCCTTGCTTTGGTCCTCTATAACCTGCCACCAATCCAGAATCTTCTTCTTCCATTCAGCATGTGATGTGCATGCGTCTATAACGTCCGTTTCTATGTGCCGCGTCTTATATCGATGTCTTGCTTTTCTCCTCACAGATTGCACGACAACAGCAGCAACTTCTGCAACAGCAACACAAGATCAACATCCTACAGCAACAGATCCAGGTCAGAGTCCCTCCATGTCCACCCAGCAGAGGGGATTTGGGGGTGGGGATGTTTTAAAGTGACATATAAAAGCATTGCAAAGGTGATCGGCATCAAAGGCTGCTGATCAGGCGGATCTCCGTTTCATTCTGATCGGAGGCATTATCATTACAATGGATGGCCGGGAAGAACACTGATTGGGTAGATATCTTAAATCCAGTAGATGGTCAAAGATTCGAGAGATCTTGTAGACGTTGGCTGAAGACACTGGCAATCCATCACATCAAAACCCTACAGACTGGGATGTGATAGGATTAAGATACCGGGGATAGTTGAGGACATTAGAGATCTGATTGGTGGAGGACACTAAAGATCTGGTAATTAATGGAGCACATAGAGATTGGGTAGTTACTGCAGGACCCTAGAGATCGGGTAGTTGGGAAAGGACACTAGGGTTCTGGTGGACAGTTGAGGACACTAGAGACCTGATAGATAGTGGAGCACATGGAGATATGGTAGTTGGCCAAGAACACTAGAAATCTGGTAGATGGTGCAGGACACTAGAGATCCTGGTAGACAGTGGAGGACACTAGAGATCCCGGTAGACAGGGGAGGACACTAGAGATCCCGGTAGACAGGGGAGGACACTAGAGATCCCGGTAGACAGTGGAGGACACTAGAGATCCCGGTAGACAGGGGAGGACACTAGAGATCCCGGTAGACAGGGGAGGACACTAGAGATCCCGGTAGACAGTGGAGGACACTAGAGATCC